TGATCAATATAAATTTAAGGTACGTATTATCTTGTGGATATTGGGTATACAAATGGTGAAGGATTTCTTGCACCATTTCGATGTCAAAGATATCATTTGAATGATTGGAGAGAAAGACACATGCCTACCACCGCTCAAGAATTTTTCAATATGAATCATTCTTCTGCTAGAAACACAATAGAAAGAGTTTTTGGCTTGATAAAGACTCGATGGGGAATCTTGAGAAGTTCATTATACTATCCTATAAAAATACAAAATTGCATCATCATGGCTTGCTGCTTACTTCATAATTTCATTATGCAAGAAATGGGTGCTTACGACGATGAGGAAGATCCAGAAAATCAACAAGAGAATAATGACATACATGAAGATGAAGATCTTGTTACTACGGTTGAAACCTTCTACCCAGTGGACTAGTTTTAGAAGAAACCTTGCCGTTAGTATATTTAACACATGGATAGCGCATAGAAACTCTACATAATTAATTTTTTTTCATATTGATGGTAGAAACAATATTGTTATTATGTTCACCGTGTATGCTATATTTTTTGGCGAGTACCTCTTATGTGTCAAATTTGTGGATTCTTTATTTGTCAATTCATGTGATGGATTATCAGATAAGTCATGCGATGGATATTTTTCTTATAATTTTTATTGTCAATTTGTATTTTCCTTATAAAGCATGGATCATCAATCTGAAGAAACAAGAGGTCGTGGTAAGAACAAAAGAAAATAGAATATTGAGGAAGATGCTAAACTTGTGGGGGCACTCCTTGAGATGGTAAATCTCGGAACCTATTAGGCTGAAAATGGGTTCAAATCTGGCTACTTGAACTATGTCGAGGACAAGTTGTGAGTCTCATTGCCTACCTCTGGATACAAGGCTAAACCCCATATTGAGTCAATAATTAAGACATTGAAGAGAGACTTCAATATTGTGTATGATATGTTAAATGATCCAAATACAAGTGGATTTGGTATGGATCCAATTTTAAAATGCATCGTAGTTGAAAAGTCCGTATGAGGCCCCTACATTGAGGTATTTACATAACTACTTTTTATAGGATTGTTTCCTGTGTTTAGTTTACTAGTTTTTTATTTTTATTTTTTTTTAACCTTTCATACTATAGAAATTTATTGTTAAAAATAACAAAATTTTTTAGATCATTGGTGGGACTATTTATAACTAACATGTACAAGAAAAATTTAAAGAAAAAATACACCATATTTGATATGCTTACTAAAAGGTATGTGCCAAGGCCTTATTTCAGTTTAAAGAGTTGGCCATTTAGTTAATGAACAATTTTTCATATTCAATGTCTAATTTCGGTTTCGTTAGAAATGGTGTATGTTAACGCTTCCACGTCCCAACCCGGTTCATTCCCACTACTCTTCCGGTTCAAGCTCTCAAAGACCTGCAATAACGCTGGGAGGTGGTCCCGGCGGTAAACCTCTGACGCTCAAGTCAGTAAGGAGTAGAAGAGTATGAGAAAGTCGTATGTAATTGTAAATAGGGTTAGGGTTTTGTAGAATGTGTTCCCCTTACCATCTTCTCGAGTCATCCATTTATACCTGATTTGTTAGCTTCTACATCACGCTTGCTCTCTCCATCATCCGATCGATCTTGTCTTCTCTCATCCTTAATCTACACGGGTCCTTTGCGCTCCCATACTGCCCGCTCAGCCCACATCCTCTCCTGGGCCATATCACTTAAGTTCTTACATGGGCCAAGCAGATGATGCTTCAACCGAAATGGGCCGAACAACTTATATTCATAAAGGGCTGAGCAATCCCTACTTAGTGGGATTATTTGTGAATTATTGATGAAACTGGCCCTCTAAAACCCGCCTCGAACCGGACCACCTTACAAAAGACCGAACTGTTATAAAATTGAGCCGGATATCTGCTAGGTGAACCACATCTCTTGTATGCCATATCATCTAGCCCTCCCATTATAAAAAGAGCCAAAGCTGTTGGAGCCTAATGGGCTCGTTTGATAATTACTGCAATAAAAATTATATAACAAACAAGCGGTGGCACACGCGGTCAAATGGGCATAGACAGTAACATGACCGAGCATAGTCAGTAGGAAGATGTACTATAATCAAATGTCTTAACTCAAGTCAAAAAGTATGCCTCGAATTTCGGACCCGTCTCATACGGTTTAGTCGATGCCACCCGCGCGGGTGGCACCCGTTTTCACTGTTGACCAATCACAGATTTACACCTGGAAAAGATAATTTGTGCTTTTTTTTTTGGCTTCCGCCTCTTTCCATCGTTTTCCACCTCATTTTTCTTTTTTTTTTAATTACCAACCCTGGTTCCAGACCATGGTTAAACTCAGATCTGATTTAACACTAACCCATTCAAACACCACACACATTTCAGATCTGACTCTCGAACAGACATTTCTCTCACATTTCTCTTAGGGTTTGTGAACATACATTCTCTCCTGCTCCGCCACTGAAAAAGGTAAGGCCGCTGAAGGTAAGGTCCCTGAAATTTTTTTTTCTTTTTTCATTTTCAGTTGGGCTGTCATTATTTTTTTTCTTCTTTCGTTTTATAGCTGAATTTGGGAATTAGTGTTTTTTGAAGGGTTATGTGATTATGAGGTTTTATCTGATTATGCTTTGGGAATTAAGGTTTGTGAATGATTCTGTGAGTATGGTTTGGTTCGATGTGTGAATGATTCTGTGATTATGGTTTGGGACTTAAGGTTTGTGAATGATTATGTGATTCTGTTCATGGGGTTTTGGTACTATTGTTCATTGAGGTTAATTTACTAGTGTTATGTCAATGTTATTATCTTTACTGTTCTGAACTCTAGTTTCTTAAATTCTGTCCAGCATAAATGGGTTTGTAGATTGAAATTTAAGGAGAATGGTGAGATTTTGATACAAGGCTTAGGCAATGAAATTATTGTTCTTTGCATATGCGCCTGGTTTATGTATAATTTGTTTTCTGTATCTCTACCTATTTGTATATCTGCTTTGAAAGGTTGAACCCATCTTTGAATTTGCTTATTTATTCAAATATCAACACTGCAATTTTTTCTTGCTTCTTCTATTGATTGAATTTGGATTTGGATTCAAATATCAACACTGCGATTTTTTCTTGCTTCTTCTATTGATTGAATTTGGATTTGGATTCAAATATCAACACT